TAGTTATTGTATCTTTTAATGTTATTTATTTATTATACATATATTATCTGCTATTATATTATTTATTACTTTATTTACAATTATAAATTCTTAATACTATATATTTTTTATGATTACTAGTTAATTATTATATCCTTTATTTTTAAATTATACTATATTTATTTATTATTGATTTATGTCATACTTTATATATTGTTATTATGCCATACTTATATATTATTATTATGCCATACTTTATAAATTATTGCTTTGTTTTTAACTTATATTTTTACATGGCAATTAAGTACCATGGTAAATTCTGCAATAAAGCAGTGGCCAATCATCAAAGAGGCATTTTATGTGACTGTTGTTCTTCTTGGGTTCATGCTAAGTGCAATTCAATCAACAAATTTTCGTATAACCTTCTTGTCAAAGACTCTTCTGACTGGTATTGTAGTGACTGCATAATTAAGAATATGCCATTTAGCACACTTTCGGACTTAGAATTTTCTTTAACTATATCATGTCAAACTCTATCAACTAGTACCTTAAATTCTTTAGAAAGTCCATTACAATTCAAAAACTTTTTTCAGGATATAAATAAAATCTCTAATTCTTATTCCAACTGCAAATACTACGATATTCTTGATCTCAATAAAACTTTAAAATCAAATTCTGAATTGTACCTTCATCTAAACATTGGTTCTTTGCATTTTCACATTGATGAACTTTGCAGTCTCATAAGTTCACTTACCATTCTTCCAACAGTATTTGGAACTTCGGAATCTAAGTTGTACATTAACGATCCCAATATAACTGACATTAATATAAATGGTTATAACATTGAACAATGCTCTACTGAAGCTAAAAAAGGCGGTGCTCTTCTATACTTACAATCCAATCTAAACTACAATGTCAGAAGAGATTTTATAGTATATGCCCCAAGATACCTAGAATCTATCTTTATTAAAATCATCAATCCTTTTAAGAAAAATATCATTGTTGGCTGCATATACCGGCATCCTTCAATGAACCCAAAGGAATTTATTTCTGATTATTTTAATCCTTTACTTGAAAAACTTAGTTCTGAAAATAAACAATGTTAATGGGTGACTTTAACATGGACTTACTTAACTACAATGAATCCCTTATTATATCTGATTACCTTGACTCTCTTTGTTCTTATTCTTTTTACCCAACTATAATTCAACCAACGCAAGTAACCTGTAATTCTAAAACAATTATTGATAACATCTTTTTAAATTTTCAAATTCCTAATCTTATTTCTGGTAACGTAACAATATCAATTTCAGATCACATGGCACAGTTTGTTTGCATTCTTAGTAGTACTCCTTTCAAAAGAAAAAAATCCATAACAGCTAAACGATCATTTAAGAATTTCAATGATAATGAATTTATTCAGGATATTTCTAATATTGACTGGAAGTTTTATATCAAAAAAGACGATGATGTCAATGAATCAATGAACTTCTTTCTAAATACATTCAACACAATTCTTGATCGTCATATCGTTATAACATTTTGTTACAAACTAGCCAAAATTCGCCACTATGTCAATTATGAAACTCTACTTAATATATATCATGCAATTTTTGGATTTCATCTTAGATACGCTTGTCAGGTTTGGGGACAATGCAAGTCTAATGCTTTTTTAAGGTTATGTAACCTACAAAACAAAACTTTAAAAATAATATTCTTTCAACAGTATCATTCTAACTCTGACATCCTTTACTTTCTATCAAAAATACTCAAATTATGTGATCTTGTTTATTTATTAAATTGTCTATTTGTCTGGAATCATAAACAAGTAAACCTCCCTCCGTCATTCTCCAATTTTTTTACCACTAAAAAAAGTTCTCGTTATTACCTTCGATCTTTGAGTAACTTTAAATTATCTATCCCAAATCGCTGTTCGGTAAAATACGGTGATAATTCTATTACAAATCAATGCGTAAAATCTAGGAATAATTTACCTTTTCATTTTCAATCCCTCAACTCTTTTTATTATAATATGTGATGCTAATATTACTTACATTTTATTTACATTTTTATTACCGTCATTATAATTATTAAAATTGTTTAATATATAAATGTGATATTTGTTTATATTATTATTATTGCTATTGTTGCTATTATTATTGTTGTTGTTGTTATTATAATTACTAATATAATCATTATTATTGTCATTATTATATCTAATAGTATTATTGATATTATTATAATCGTCTTCATTTAATTTACATTATTATTGTTATATGATTGCTATTATTATTTAATTAGTGCTTACCTTAGATTAGTACTTGTACTATTAGTAAACAACCATGAAATGTAAACTTTTATTTCAGAATATATATTATTGTTATTGTTTATTGTTTGTTTTGTTTTCATCATTCCATAATCAATTCAGTTAAACAAACAAGGTATGAAAGTATAAATAAACACTAGATTGAAGAAATGCTTTTCTTTTTTCTTATTTTGAGCATTTTATCTTTTTTTCTATTTGAAAAGGACATTAGATAACGCATTTATCTTGTCCATCACAATCCGCCATTTCATTAACGCAACTTTACTAGGTTTGCGCTTTTAGATTACAGTCATTACCGATGGAACCCCAGGGGTTTCACACACTGAACAGATCATTTTTATTCTTCGTTTTTTTCATTTCAGCTTCAACAAAAAACCTGGGAGGTAAAGGAGCGTTTTCTTCCCAAAAAAAGGAGTGGATATTGGAAAACTATTTTGTGATGTTTTAATGAAAGTAAGTCTTGACTTGCAGAAATGCCGTGGCTAAGGTTTCAACAACGGCTCAAATATGGCTGGAATTTAAGCTTTAATCTTGCAGAAAAATCCATCTATATTCATTGTGGTGCCCATAGTCTTAATTTAGAAAGAGTATATGCAGTTGAATCTTGTGCTGAGATGAAGACTTTCTTCGGTAATATCCAAACTCTCTACGTATTTTTCCGCTGCAGTCCGGCTAGGTGGAAGATTTTGCAAGAATTGACAGGAATCTCTCTTGACAAGCTTTCCGATACCAGGTGGTCAGCTTGGATTGCCGCTGTTAAGCCAATAGCAAAACGACCACGGGAAATAATTACTGCTTTTAATCGTACTATAGAGGATCTTGAACTTACTGCTGACACGCTAAATCAAGCTAAGTCTTTGATAAAGTTTTTTAAATCTTTTGAAACTGTTATACTTCTGACCTTTTTTTATAAAGTTCTTCAAGTAGCAGATGAAGTAAGCCGTTTTTTCCAGACAACTTCACTAACAATAGATGACGAAGTTATTCTAATTCAACAGCTAATAAGCAATCTTGGCCGTATATGCTCATCATGGAATAATATTTTGACTGAAGCGAAAGCTGTTGCAGGTCCTCTAGGCTTTGAAACGGAATTTTTGTCAAAACGAAAGAAGAGAGCGAAACGGTATCACAATGAACTTGCAAATGCAGCTTTCTGCTATGAGAGCCCCGAGCATCAATTTGAGGTAAACATCTTCAACGTTGCTCTTGATCTTATTTGATCAATGTTGAACTTGATTTTATTTATCAAGTTCAGTCAAGGTTTGACAGACTAAAGAGTGTTTCCTCAAGATTCTCATTTATCTGGTTGAAAGACCAAGAACCAGATTCTCAAGAGATAAAAGCTTGTGAATTAGTACAGTTCTACGCTAATGGTGTCAAAGAAGACAACTTCATACAAGAAATTTTGCATCTTAATTGTTTGAAGGAGTATTCTTTTTTTATCCCTGTAAACTTATTGAGCATTCTCAACCAAAAAGTCAGCAGCCTATTTTTACCTATATATGCATTTTAATTCGAATTTTTAATACAATGCCAGTTTCTGTTGCAGAGGGTGAGCGATCCTTTAGTAAGTTTAAATTGGTAAAGAATTATTGTAGGGCCACAATGGGACAAGAACGCCTTTCGGATCTCATGATGCTTTCAGTGGAAAATGAGTTAGCTAAGACTCTGTCATATGATAATATAATAAGAAATTTTGCCGGTAAAAAAGGAAGAAAAGAGTGTTTTATATAAGCCGTTTTTTCTTATTTGAATTTCTAAAGAATGCCTAATAATGCATTTATGTTGTATTTGTGTCGCATAGTTGTATTTTTTTAAAGACGCAATGTTTAAAAGTATTGCCGTAAAATGATTTTAACAGAAATAAACCACAATTAAGAAAATTCATTTTAAAACAATGTGTACTCATATATATGCAAGATTGCATTTGATAAAGGTTTTTTTTTTAAATAATGTATCTTTAAAGTAACAAAAATATCACAAATCTTTAAAGGAGCGCTTACTCAACGCTATGCCCCGGGCGTTATAAAAGCTCTCGGCGGCCCTGTTTCGAATGTTTAGTTTTCAGGGACTAAATGTATAAAACGGTTGCCATGGTTGCTGCTATAGGAATCCAAACACCTTTAGGCGTAAGAAATTTTTTTTACCAATGAATTCTGCATTCAATTGTATAAAAGAGGTTTTGCAAAAAAAAAAAAAAAATCAATACTGTAAGTTTTCAAAATAAAATCGCAGTAGAGTCTGGGAGCAACCATATCTCAAAAAACGTTCTCCACTCAAGCCCAAATGTGAGGGCAAAAGTTTAATAAAAAATATATTTTTTAGCATATTATACTAAATTTGAATTCATCGACATCTTTTTTATTTTACTTAATAATTTTTTAACGTTTAAAAGTTATAAACATTTAAAATAATAAAAAATGATGGAGTTGTCGATTTTACATGGTCATATTCGAACACTAAAAGATTAATAAATTAAAAACCTGTCGAGGAATTTAAATTTACCATAGTATAATAAAAAAAAAATATTTTTTATTTACAGGCCTGTTTGTAAATGTAATACAAAATTTATAAATTTATGATAAAATTTATAAATGAATAAAATAATTATTTACGTTACTTATAAAAACTAGTTTATTGAGATGAATTCTGGCGTTTTCGAAAATGTCGCTAATATTTTTAGCACGTTGCGCATACATAATGCCGCAGCTGAGTGGAAGGCTCTTCTCTTGATATTTACTTGGATATAACTTATGGTTTAAAAATGTTTAAAGAAGGTAACTTACCTCACCCACAATCCGGTGTCAATGAAGATCAAAATCCGCCTCAATACCAACCATCAGTAAATGGCAAGTTTTAAATTTAATTTATAAATTATTTAAAATTTGTAATTTATAAAATAGTTTAAAAAAAATTTAACCAACTTAAACAATTTTTCAATTTTGAAATTATTAAAAGTGTATGAAAGATTAAATGTAGCATTTCTCGAAATATGTATCCGACTAAAAATATATTTTGTTAGAGATTCAGTCAGAAATTCAAACTAGCTGGTAAACAGAGAGTCAGAAACCAGCTAATAAGTAGAGAGAGTCAGAGACCGATTAACAGATCAATAAACGTAGACGTAAGACCTGAAGAGACTATATTTCTAGACTTATTGAAAGCTTTTGATACACGCTGTTACGGAAAAAGGTGGTAATGTTAAAGAAAAGAGGTGTAAACGTGTGATACTATATGTTGCTGTAAAAAGGTGTTGCTGTAAAAAGGTGTTAATGATGAAAAAGGTGTTCATGATACATTTACACCTTATAACTGTTGTGGTTAAAAGGTGTTCATGCAAATAAAGGCGATAGGCAAAATTTCTCCATAATGATATCCACAAAATATCAGAGAGAAGAATTATTTTTTCAGAGTAATTGATTTTTTCACGTTCATTCATTCACCTGTGAACTGTAAACGCTTCATAACGTTTGAAACCAATCATCACCAGTCATATTTTTTGAAAAAAATATACTGTATACTGTATGATTTTAGAACTTTAAATAAGCAGAAACTAACAACTTTACATCAATAAAAATCCGCAATTACACCTAACAATTATTATAGTAGAAAATAAATGCTCCTCCATCATAAGTGAATATGGTTGGTGCACCAATGCACTATTTATACTTTGAATTCATTTTATTATGGATACTACTTCTTAGTATATTAAACCTTTTTGAAGTTTGACGATCAGGGTTTACTTTATGAATTGCTTCCATACACTCTTTGAAAAGAATGATGTTAGAAAAAGTATTAAATATATGATTTCCAATGTTATGTTTGTTATATTTACGAGTCCTTAAACTTAAAAAAAAAGTAAATAAAAGTTACCCAAACTTTCAATTTGTAATTGTAAAAATAAAAGTGCAGTTTGTCAACTTATTTCTAAATTCGATAAACTATAATTTATAGTTGACAGTCACATCATTATTACATTAGTCAATTATTGAACACTAATTAACTTTAGATCTAATTACTAATTAAATCACTAATTAATCTTTAGATTTAATAACTATATAAAGTTTCATAAATTTGCAAAAACAATAACAACGACAAAAACAATTCAGCTCGAAAATAAATAATCTTTATTATTATAAAATACGTTATTTAAATAATATTTAAAAAAAAAAAAAAATTATTTAAGGTAAAAATATTATCTTGGTAGAATAAAAAATCTTTAAGCAAATTTGAAATATGTATTAACTCATTTTACTCATTAATAATAGTTATGTTACCACGAATCACGTTTATAACCTTTTGACAACTCTGTATAAATCAAAGAGTACTGTTATTTGAGCTCATAAAAATGTACATCTTATTTGAAAATTTCAAAAAATTTGTTACAAATGCTTTTCAATATATGTTGAAGAGCATTTGCAACAAGTTTCATCTAACAACTTATGTAAAAAGAATAATATTTACAAATAAAACAAAAAAATCACGATTTTACTTATTCACTTCTACATATACATTGTAGTACTGCAAACTATAAGTTTATACATTGTAGTACTGCAAACTATAAGTTTATACATTGTAGTACTGCAAACTATAAGTTTATACATTGTAGTACTGCAAACTATAAGTTTATACATTGTAGTACTGCAAACTATAAGTTTATACATTGTAGTACTGCAAACTATAAGTTTATACATTGTAGTACTGCAAACTAAAAGTTTGGAAAATTTTGCAGTACTTGATATACAATATATATCAAGTACTGCAAAGTTTAAAAAAATGTATACATACACAAAAAAAAAATATATACATACACAAAAAAAAAAATTTACACAAAAATAAAATAAATACACAAAGACACATATATACATGTGTATATATTTTATTTAAATGTTAAAAAATTTAAGTACTTTTGATCATAATGGACATGGTCGACAATATGGGTTTTGAAGTGGAGGGGCACCTTATTTAAAAGAAAGTCCACTATATCTCGAAATTTCTAAAAAAAAAAGTCGTTTAGAAAAATATTAGGGGGGGGGGGGTATAATGTTCCCCTTCCGGCCCCCAGATGTCGTTGGCCTTGATGGATTTGAAGGTAGTAAGATGACAAGCTAGCAATAAATTTGAATACAAATGAAAATTTCTCACGAGGAGAAGTCATTGTAAATATTTAAAGCGCCAAGTAAATAACATTTTATTCTTAAGCATCTTGTTATATCAAAACCTTGTTACGCCGACACTTTTTCTTTTAAACACTAACACCTTTTAGTGTTGATTAAACAGTTGGAATATTTTTGTCTTCAACACCTGTTATAAGAACATGAGCACCTATATGTGTTCATGTTTATATTATCAACATCTTTAAACGCTAGCATCGTTTTTTTAAACACGGACACCTTTTTCCGTAACAGTGCATTAAGAAACAGCACAATACTCAATAAATTTAATTTCTTTTTTATTCAAGAAATAAAACTTAAAGGTGTATTCGATTACTTGTTCTACCGTTCACAAGTAGTCGCTTTTGATAGAGCGATATGAAATGAAAAAAATTATCTTAAAAGCGGAGTATTACAATTTATCCTTTAACTCTTACTCACTTACACGTGACTAAGAGTCAAAGGATAAATTTTCCAGTGACTTTCAAGGGCCTGCAAATATAAACTATAAAATATTATATTTGCCTATTTAAACATACTACATTTGTCTATTTAAACATACTACATTTGGCTATTTAAACATACTACATTTGGCTATTTAAACATAGTATATTTGCCTATTTAAACATACTACATTTTAAACATACTACATTTTAAACTACATTTGGCTTTGTTGACTAAAACTAAAACAAATCAATTTTACTTTGCAAAATTACTTACTTATTTAGAAGGTAGATCTGTTTAGTTTAATCAGCATTTTACCAATATTTTAATAATTTTTATATTTCCAACAATAAACCATTAAAAAAAATTTAAGTTTCACGCATTTTAAAGGTAAACAATTTTTATATACTATATTTATTTTAATTAAAAACCTAAAATTCACGCATTTTATAGGCATTTTATACAATTTTTCATATACTATTTTTATTTTTAACACTATACTAAATTAGGAATAAAAAATTGTAATGTAATCAAATCATAGTGGAGAAATTGTCTCTCTCTCTATTCTGTTACTTCTAATAATTCAGGTCTAAATCTTCCTCCTCGTCATATAATTATTAAGTTAATAATAATCAAGATCGGTATCTGTACCTGATCGTTATCAAGATCGTTATCTGCTCCTGATCGGTATAAAGATCGGTATCTGTACTTGATCGAAATCAAGATCAGACTTAGTTTGAAACAAGTTTAGTTTAATTACTTTTAAAAGATTTTTCAATAACGTTTATGTTACATTTTAAGGTTATAAAAATGCTCAACCCCAGCCGTATCCATATCAAACATACCAATCCGAACCATATCTTAAGCAGAGCGAAGTTCTCAACCAGCAAGAATATTTTCCTCACAATACTACTATGTACTCACCATCACCAGTATACCTCACGAATGTCTTGTATTTCTCAACATGCCCAATGCATGTTGTATGTCAACATTGCCGTGCCCAAGTTTTAACGTCAACTATGCATACCTCTGGTGTTGCTGTTTGGCTCATTTCATTATTAATTTGTATTTTGGGGTAATCAATTTTGTCTTTTTATTTATCTATAAAATATATATGCTTTTTTTATCATAAAGATCTTAAGTATACTTTTTATAGTTTTTTTTCTTCTCAAAAACTTTTTTTTTTAATAAATAAGCGCTTATAAAGCGCCCGCTTTAAACATGAAATAAGTTTATACGCGTATAAAGATATTATACAGAATGCTTTTAATTCAATTATGAACACTATCTAATTTGTTTGTGAAACAAGTATCCATATTTTACAAAGAGAATGAATATATTAATACATATAACTTCTATGGATTAGTTCACTAAAAATAAATACGATTCCTATACTTATAATATCAGTTACTTGGACAATTATTTATTATTTCCCTTCGGGCATTTGTTTTTAAAAGTTACGTTCTAAATTTCTTTCAAACGTTTTTTAAACGTCTTTTAAACGTTCTTTACGTAAGAATGTTTAGAAGACGTTTTAAAGATATTTAAAATACATTTAGAACGTAACTTTTGAAAACAAATGCCCGCTGGGTTGTTAATTTGTTTGTGAAACATGTATCCGTATTTCACAAAGAGAATGAATTTATTCTCTTTGTGAAATAAATAAAATGAAAAAATTCCTCATAGGGAAAAAATTATCAAACCCACATGGGTTTGATAAAAAAATAACTTGATAATTTTTATTAAAAAAAGGTTTCAAGTCATTAAGTCTTATGAACTTTTTTCTTATTTATTACTAATGATCTGCACATTAGTAATCCAATATTTTTAGAGCTCCTGGACACCAGAAACCAGAAAAAAAGAGAGATTTAAAACCGGAATCCTTTTTGGATTCAGCATCATTGGCTCAAACTTGTTTTTAAGGATTATCGAAAATTTTAGCCAGAAACCGATACCATGGTTTCAATTTCTTTGAGTAAAACTTCCTATAACAATTAATTTCCTTTCCCTAATAAAAAGTTGTTTTGAAGTTGGTTGTTATTACTGATTTTTTTTAAAATAAATATTACAAAAAATTCAATAAACACCTACTTAAACTATTGTACTTACTAAAAGCCAAAGGAAATACCCCTGTCTTTATTCAATGAATCACAACAGGTTGCAGACACATACTAGAACTATTTGGTGTTCTTGGTACATATAGAGTTAGGGTAGAGTTATGTCAGATAAGTTAATTTATTGCAAGATTTCAATTTTGAAAAAAAGATTCGACTTTAACCTATAAAAAGTTTAATTTTTCTCTAAGTTTAGCGCCAAAATACCCATGGCTCTTACCAACTTTTTTCATATTTTTCACATAAAAATAAGTAAAGTAACCCTCCATCAAGAAGCAATATATGAAATAAATGAATTAAGTCATTGAATCAGTGTAAGTCTCAGGCTTTTTTTTTATTTTTAATTTTTTTCCCCCTGACGCGTGCCGACTGGGACATCTTTTAAAAAAACTCTTAATCTCTAATTAAATGTTTTATTAAAACATTTTATTAATAAAAGTTGGGCCGCTTCTATGGATAAGTTAACTAAAATTAAATAAGATTCCTACCCAGTGGGCATGCGTCATCCGGGGGACTTTTGTCGGACATCTTCCGGACGACGCATGCCCATTGGGTATACTTATAATATCAGTTTGAACAATTATTTATTATTATTAATTTTCTGATTTTTTTTTTGTCAGCAATATTCATAATTGTTTATCTCATTTTCTAAGAGGTTTTCTTGGATGTTGCCTCCTTCCGTTTTGCATCGATGGGCTAAAAGATGTTGAACACTTGTGTCCAAACTGTGGTAAAGTATGTGGAGTATGCAGAAGATTATAAGCTGAATGAAATATATAGTCGGGTGTATAAATAAAAAAATATATTATAAAAATATTTTGTAAATAAATTTTTGAAATAGATATATTTTTTCAATGGTTAAAATTTCATACATTTCTCCAATATATATAACATGTTGATTAAAACCAAAGGTAGAGAAAAAAAGAAATCATTTAGGATGTCTCAAAAAACAAAAAATTTTCTTTATTTAAAGTATCCATGTTTATGTATATATATATATATATATATATATATATATATATATATATATATATATATATATATATATATATATATATATATATATATATATATATATATATATATATATATATATATATATATATATATATATATATACAGTACCTGCTCAAATTATTGGACTCAAGAATAAAATTTTCAGATTTCACTAGTTTTTCAGATTTTCTTTTTTTTTTTTCAGATTTTAACTTTCTTATCATTCATTTTTTGTTTTAGTTTAGAAAAATTTTTAAAATATATATACTTTAAAAAAATATTTTCAACTTCATAAAAAATATGGTAAACTTTATTAATATAAAATTAAAAACTTTCAGTTGGTGTTATTATAACGCTAATTATGTAGTTTTTAGAGGCCTATATTATTGTAGGTTGTCTTTATAACTTAAATAATGCAATTTCAGTTGTTTTTAAGTATTTTTTTTAATCATGCAGTCACATGATAACTAATTGAGTGTTGCGCTTGTTTTAGGATTAATAATGGGTAAAGCAAGTGATGGTTCCTTACGTAAATTAGCAAAAGCAGCTGTTCTTCTGCAAGAAACAGATGGCACCCAAAAGAGTTTTGCAAAAATTGTTGAAATTTCGCAGGCTACAGTTGGAAGAATAAGTTTATAACTCAAAATAGGGGTCAAATTAAAACCACAGAGAAAAGGTCGCTGTGGTCAAAAGAGAATAACAAGTGCTAGAAATGTTGAACAAAATTGCAATAAATAAAAATGAAAAGCGTTTTGAAAGATCAAGGCATCATCATTTCACTTGGATCTTTAAGAAGGAGAAGATATGGATTAGTGTTAACCACTGAAGAAGTGGTTAACACTTAATCTTTAAGAAGGAGAAGATACGGATTAGGAATAAGTGTTAACCACTATAGAAGGCAAAACGTGATAGCCTGCAATGATTAATAAACGTAGTGCTTGAGCTAAGAAACACTCTTCTTTTTTTTAAGATGACTGGCATTTTCAGGTTTTTCTCTCCATACATTTAAACAGATTTTATTTTCTTATTACAAATTTTCAAAAGATGTTTTTGAATGAATATATTACCCCAATTGATCTTACTATTATTTGAAAAACTAATAAATTTTAATATTGACTGCTTTATTCAGGTTGTATTCAGCAATGAATGTTCCTATGAGACTTTGAAAGATAAAGCAACATTAGTGCGCCGCAGACCAGGAGAATAACACAAACCAGAATGCATAATAAACACTGTAAAGCACCCAGCATCTATAATAATTTGGTCATGCATATTGAGCAGGGGTAAGGTCATCATTACATTATACAAGGTTTGTGCCCCGCAGACCAGTCATCTTTACATTGTACTGGTCATCTTTACATCAGTCCTGCAGACTTTGCTGATTCCACAGATACGAGAGTGGTTTCCAAATAGTGAAAAAATAATTTTCATGCAAGATGGTATTCCACGCCATACTGCAAAATCCATAAAAATATTTCTTGCTAATGAGATCCTGTTTCTTGCTAATGAGATCCTGTTTCTTGATTGGCTTGGCGATTCTCCAGGTATGTACCCTATAGAAAATCTATAGGAGCTTGTCAAGCACAAATTCAGTGTTGACACAATAACAAGTAAAAAGAAGCTCACAGAACGACTGATTGAAGTATGGCGTCAAGATCTAGATGTCAAAGCATTACCATCAAAGTGCATAAATAGTATGCCAAGGCGTATCAAAGCTCTTTTAAAGTTGAAATGACTCACCACAAAGTACTAAGTTTCATAACATGCTTTTTATATATTAATATATAAATTATATAACAAATAAATTAAGTTGTGATTGCTTCTAGTGCATTTTTTTTTAAACAAAAGTTGGAAAGAAGAAGAGGAAAGTTGAAAATTGAGTTTGAGTCTGATAATTTGAGTAGGTACTGTATATACATATATATATATATATATATATATATATATATATATATATATATATATATATATATATATATATATATATATATATCATATATATATATATATATATATATATATATATATATATATATATATATATATATATATATATATATATATATATATATATATATATATATATATATGTATATATATATATATATATATATATATATATATATATATATATATATATATATATATATATATATATATATATATATATATATATATATGTATATATGTATATATATATATATATATATATATATATATATATATATATATATATATATATATATATATATATATATATATATATATATATATATATATATTCTACTTTTCACATTGCACATGACATTCTATCTATTAATAATAATAAAGATTGCCATGTCAATAAAAAGAAACCTTGCTAAAAAAATCTCGATTATTTAGAAAGTGAACTATTTGAGGAGTCCTGAAAAAATATTAACTCAGCATGAATAATAACATCTGAAACAAAAAACAGAGTTAAAAAATCCATGGATGACGAGTAACCTTATTAAATCGTAAGCAAAAAATAAAAAAAAATTATTTTTTGTTTTTGCTTTCTAAAATAATGTATAACTTTATTTAGCTACATAAAATTAAATTAGACATAAAAAAAACCATGGTCGATTATAATCAAAGGTAGAGAAAAAATAAATCTTTTAGCATACCCTCAAAAAATATTTGGTAATAATAAACACAATACAAATGAATCAGACATTTACCATGAACTTAACAAATAGATTGTAAATCTTGGTTTAAGTCTAGCGTTAAAACGAGTGAAGCCGAATAAAAAGTTTGACGAATTTATTGGAGAAAAACTTGTATATCAAATGAAAAAAAATTTTAAAAAATCTTAAAAAGAATTTAATAAAGAACTGATTGAACAAAAGCTAATAATAAGTCATGCGGATATAACAACAGTAATAGCAATTTACCAATCCGTGCTATTGAATGTATTCATAAACCCTAAAATCCTGTTTATAAAAATAGTTATTGTAATAATATGTCTAACTACCGTCCAATTTCCCTTATACCAGTGTCGGTAGTGGAACTATTTTAACTGTTGCAAAGACATTTAGACAATATAATATTACAATATTCCTCAAGGAATACTCCTAGATAATATTACAATATTCCTCAAGGAATATTCCTAAATAATATTACAACATTCCGTAAAGGAATATTCTTAAAGAAAATAGAAGAAAAAGAGCTGCAAATATTAGTATATAATTTTTTTGTTTACTTTTATTTATTAAATTTATAGACTTTAGAAACGCTTATATTTAAATTTATAGACTTTAGAAACGCTTATATTTAAATTTATAGACTTTAGAAACGCTTATATTTAAATTTATAGACTTTAGAAACGCTTATATTTAAATTTATAGACTTTAGAACGCTTTAGAAAAGTTCCAGCTCTTATGCTCTATGACCAAATTTTCGTTTTTTAATTTTATTCAAAACAATTTGAAGCAAACGGACTAGGCAAAATCTTAAAGAAGTTCAAAGATAGACTTTCTAAAATTCTAGTCTAAAATTCTGCATAAACGAAAAAAAAAAAAAAAATTTAAAAAAATGTTTGATTTTTTTTGTCAATCGGTATCTATACCGTTAAAAAGCCCAGATTTACTCCTTAACAATATAACGATATAACGGGTAAAATATGCAAAGGTTCTTGCAAGAAACTTTGCATATTTTTTCCTTGTTTAATACATTACATTGTATTAAACAAGAACTGACTAATTATTTTTTAATAAAGTTCTGTTAATGAAAAAGTGTAATTCAAAGTTTAAAAATAGACTCACATGTTTGATGGTTGCTAATTTTAGGGATAAACGTTTTATTATCATCTGTTAAATTCTATTAGATCTAGTTTCATTTTTTTATACATCGCAGGATTATAAAATTAAAATAATAAAAAATCTTTAAAATATCAAAAAAAAATTTTTTTAGTTGTGTACCACCTTTGCCTATATTGTGTAGGCGTAATAAACTGTTAAATCGATTATCCATTCTATTTAGATAATGAACTACTCTACAACGATGGTTTTGCAAGCCTTGTTGCTTGATTAACTTTATTTTGTGTGCATAAGGCCACACTATTTGCATATGTTTTTTTTTTCAAGTTTTTTTTGTTATTTAGGTCCCTAAGAAGACCTAACGGTTTTGTCACAGAGTACCGCGAAAGTGCATTTAACCAGGGAGTTTACGCCTCCTTTCTTACCTTGACGCGAAAATATGTTCAGAGCTCGTTTCGAACTTGGATCTCCTATTTCTAATGCAAGCGCTCTAACCACTGCGCCACACACGTGCGCCACGGCCGCACGTGTGTGAGGTAATAAAGTTTATTTCTTAAACACTTATCAAGAAACGAGCGAAATTTATATAAAAGACCTTTTACGCGTGATATTTTTGATTTAATGTGCACAATATGATAGATTATTAATTAAATGGATAATCGAAATAACAGTTTATTACGCCCATTATAAAAGTATACACACACTTTAAAAACGTTTTAACTCTTAATTTATTACAAGCAAAAAATACAAATATACTGCCAATACACTATCAAGTTTTCAGGTTGCAAAAGAAAGTTACTAAATTAATAAAGCACTAATGGAATATAGTTCACTAGAAAGTCAAGAAACTGCCGTTGCTAGGGGCGTTGCTATAGAAAACTGTACTTTAAAAATGTGTTTTATAATATTAGTTTTATACGTATATAAAGGTATATACTTTCTGAATCTCAAACAAATTTCGAATTATATATATTTATTTATTAATCACCCGCTGTATATAATACAAGGTAAATTATTATAAAGTTACATTTTTGACAAGAAATAAGTTTTTATTTTGGAATATTTATTTCAAGAATATCT